CCTCCTCTAACCTACACAATGTAAACTGCCTACAGCATCCTCCTCTAACTCTAACCTACACAATGTAAACTGCCTACAACATCCTCCTCTAACCTACACAATGTAAACTGCCTAGAACATCCTCCTCTAACCTACATAATGTAAACTGCCTACAGCATCCTCCTCTAACCTACACAATGTAAACTGCCTACAGCATCCTCCTCTAACTCTAACCTACACAATGTAAACTGCCTACAACATCCTCCTCTAAACTACACAATGTAAACTGCCTACAACATCCTCATCTAACCTACACAATGTAAACTGCCTACAACATCCTCCTCTAACCTACACAATTTAAACTGCCTACAACATCCTCCTCTAACCTACACAATGTAAACTGCCTACAACATCCTCCTCTAACTCTAACCTACACAATGTAAACTGCCTACAACATCCTCCTCTAACTCTATCCTACACAATGTAAACTGCCTACAACATCCTCCTCTAACTCTAACCTACACAATGTAAACTGCCTACAACATCCTCCTCTAACCTACACAATGTAAACTGCCTTCAACATCCTCCTCTAACCTACACAATGTAAACTGCCTACAACATCCTCCTCTAACCTACACAATGTAAACTGCCTACAACATCCTCCTAACCTACACAATGTAAACTGCCTACAACATCCTCCTCTAACTCTAACCTACACAATGTAAACTGCCTACAACATCCTCCTCTAACTCTATCCTACACAATGTAAACTGCCTACAACATCCTCCTCTAACTCTAACCTACACAATGTAAACTGCCTACAACATCCTCCTCTAACTCTAACCTACACAATGTAAACTGCCTACAACATCCTCCTCTAACCTACACAATGTAAACTGCCTACAACATCCTCCTCTAACCTACACAATGTAAACTGCCCACAACATCCTCCTCTAAACTACACAATGTAAACTGCCTACAACATCCTCCTCTAACCTACACAATGTAAACTGCCTACAACATCCTCCTCTAACTCTAACCTACACAATGTAAACTGCCTACAACATCCTCCTCTAACCTACACAATGTAAACTGCCTACAACATCCTCCTCTAACTCTAACCTACACAATGTAAACTGCCTACAACATCCTCCTCTAACCTACACAATGTAAACTGCCTACAACATCCTCCTCTAACTCTAACCTACACAATGTAAACTGCCTACAACATCCTCCTCTAACCTACACAATGTAAACTGCCTACAACATCCTCCTCTAACTCTAACCTACACAATGTAAACTGCCTACAACATCCTCCTCTAACCTACACAATGTAAACTGCCTACAACATCCTCCTCTAACCTACACAATGTAAACTGCCTACAACATCCTCCTCTAACCTACACAATGTAAACTGCCTACAACATCCTCCTCTAACTCTAACCTACACAATGTAAACTGCCCACAACATCCTCCTCTAACCTACACAATGTAAACTGCCTACAACATCCTCCTCTAACTCTAACCTACACAATGTAAACTGCCTACAACATCCTCCTCTAACTCTAACCTACACAATGTAAACTGCCTACAACATCCTCCTCTAACCTACACAATGTAAACTGCCTACAACATCCCCCTCTAACCTACACAATGTAAACTGCCCACAACATCCTCCTCTAACCTACACAATGTAAACTGCCTACAACATCCTCCTCTAACCTACACAATGTAAACTGCCTACAACATCCTCCTCTAACCTACACAATGTAAACTGCCTACAACATCCTCCTCTAACCTACACAATGTAAACTGCCTACAACATCCTCCTCTAACCTACACAATGTAAACTGCCTACAACATCCTCCTCTAACCTACACAATGTAAACTGCCTACAACATCCTCCTCTAACTCTAACCTACACAATGTAAACTGCCTACAGCATCCTCCTCTAACTCTAACCTACACAATGTAAACTGCCTACAGCATCCTCCTCTAACTCTAACCTACACAATGTAAACTGCCTACATCCTCCTCTAACCTACACAATGTAAACTGCCTACAACATCCCCCTCTAACCTACACAATGTAAACTGCCTACAACATCCTCCTCTAACCTACACAATGTAAACTGCCTACAACATCCTCCTCTAACTCTAACCTACACAATGTAAACTGCCTACAACATCCTCCTCTAACCTACACAATGTAAACTGCCTACAACATCCTCCTCTAACCTACACAATGTAAACTGCCTACAACATCCTCCTCTAACCTACACAATGTAAACTGCCTACAACATCCTCCTCTAACCTACACAATGTAAACTGCCTACAGCATCCTCCTCTAACCTACACAATGTAAACTGCCTACAACATCCCCCTCTAACCTACACAATGTAAACTGCCCACAACATCCTCCTCTAACCTACACAATGTAAACTGCCCACAACATCCTCCTCTAACCTACACAATGTAAACTGCCTACAACATCCTCCTCTAACTCTTACCTACACAATGTAAACTGCCTACAACATCCTCCTCTAACCTACACAATGTAAACTGCCTACAACATCCTCCTCTAACTCTAACCTACACAATGTAAACTGCCTACAACATCCTCCTCTAACCTACACAATGTAAACTGCCTACAACATCCTCCTCTAACCTACACAATGTAAACTGCCTACAACATCCTCCTCTAACTCTTACCTACACAATGTAAACTGCCTACAACATCCTCCTCTAACCTACACAATGTAAACTGCCTACAACATCCTCCTCTAACTCTAACCTACACAATGTAAACTGCCTACAACATCCTCCTCTAACCTACACAATGTAAACTGCCTACAGCATCCTCCTCTAACCTACACAATGTAAACTGCCTACAACATCCTCCTCTAACCTACACAATGTAAACTGCCTACATCCTCCTCTAACCTACACAATGTAAACTGCCTACAACATCCTCCTCTAACCTACACAATGTAAACTGCCTACAACATCCTCCTCTAACCTACACAATGTAACCTGCCTACAACATCCTCCTCTAACTCTAACCTACACAATGTAAACTGCCTACAACATCCTCCTCTAACCTACACAATGTAAACTGCCTACAACATCCTCCTCTAACTCTAACCTACACAATGTAAACTGCCTACATCCTCCTCTAACCTACACAATGTAAACTGCCTACAACATCCCCCTCTAACCTACACAATGTAAACTGCCTACAACATCCCCCTCTAACCTACACAATGTAAACTGCCTACAACATCCTCCTCTAACTCTAACCTACACAATGTAAACTGCCTACAACATCCTCCTCTAACCTACACAATGTAAACTGCCTACAACATCCTCCTCTAACCTACACAATGTAAACTGCCTACAACATCCTCCTCTAACCTACACAATGTAAACTGCCTAGAACATCCTCCTCTAACCTACACAATGTAAACTGCCTACAACATCCTTTTCTAACTCTAACCTACACAATGTAAACTGCCTAGAACATCCTCCTCTAACCTACACAATGTAAACTGCCTAGAACATCCTCCTCTAACCTACACAATGTAAACTGCCTACAACATCCCCCTCTAACCTACACAATGTAAACTGCCCACAACATCCTCCTCTAACCTACACAATGTAAACTGCCCACAACATCCTCCTCTAACCTACACAATGTAAACTGCCTACAACATCCTCCTCTAACCTACACAATGTAAACTGCCTACATCCTCCTCTAACCTACACAATGTAAACTGCCTACAACATCCCCTTCTAACCTACACAATGTAAACTGCCTACAACATCCTCCTCTAACCTACACAATGTAAACTGCCTACAACATCCTCCTCTAACTCTAACCTACACAATGTAAACTGCCTACAACATCCTCCTCTAACCTACACAATGTAAACTGCCTTCAACATCCTCCTCTAACCTACACAATGTAAACTGCCTGCCTCCTCTAACCTACACAATGTAAACTGCCTACAACATCCTCCTCTAACTCTAACCTACACAATGTAAACTGCCCACAACATCCTCCTCTAACCTACACAATATAAACTGCCTACAACATCCTCCTCTAACCTACACAATGTAAACTGCCCACAACATCCTCCTCTAACCTACACAATGTAAACTGCCTACAACATCCTCCTCTAACCTACACAATGTAAACTGCCTACAACATCCTCCTCTAACCTACACAATGTAAACTGCCAACACCCTCCTCTAACCTACACAATGTAAACTGCCTGCCTCCTCTAACCTACACAATGTAAACTGCCTACAACATCCTCCTCTAACCTACACAATGTAAACTGCCTACAACATCCTCCTCTAACCTACACAATGTAAACTGCCTACAACATCCTCCTCTAACCTACACAATGTAAACTGCCTACAGCATCCTCCTCTAACCTACACAATGTAAACTGCCTACAACATCCTCCTCTAACCTACACAATGTAAACTGCCTACAACATCCTCCTCTAACCTACACAATGTAAACTGCCTACAACATCCTCCTCTAACCTACACAATGTAAACTGCCTACAACATCCTCCTCTAACCTACACAATGTAAACTGCCTACAGCATCCTCCTCTAACTCTAACCTACACAATGTAAACTGCCTACAACATCCTCCTCTAACCTACACAATGTAAACTGCCTACAACATCCTCCTCTAACCTACACAATGTAAACTGCCTACAGCATCCTCCTCTAACCTACACAATGTAAACTGCCCACAACATCCTCCTCTAACCTACACAATGTAAACTGCCTACAACATCCTCCTCTAACTCTAACCTACACAATGTAAACTGCCTACAACATCCTCCTCTAACCTACACAATGTAAACTGCCTACAGCATCCTCCTCTAACTCTAACCTACACAATGTAAACTGCCTACAACATCCTCCTCTAACTCTAACCTACACAATGTAAACTGCCTACAACATCCTCCTCTAACCTAGCTGTGTTTTCTTACTTTCTCAGAACCGGAGCCTGGCAATCGTGGTAACCATGGCGACACATTCCCCTACGAGACCACAAAGCATCCCATGGAGAGCGAAGACTCCAATGACATCGTTGAAGGCTTCAACTATGAGGATCTTGACGTCACCACCCGGAAGTCCAGAAACCGAAACCAAGACCGGAACAAGAATAAAAATAAAAACAAAAACAAAGATAAAAAAGACAAGACTAAAAAGCCGACCCCCGTGGATAGAAATCTGTACCCCACTACATACATGCCGCCCAGAGAACCTGAGCTGGACCGCACGACAGGTGTGACTATCTGGAACTACGGCACGACGTATGGGGGTGGGGCCAGCGATGCCAGGTACCCGGGCTTAGAGACAACGTCGGAGCCGGTGACAGCCAGGAGCGGGCATGGGAGCGACACCCACAAGGGGGGCATCAGTGCCTGGACCATATACACGGTGGTGGGGGCGGTGGGTGGGGTCATCCTTCTCATAGGTCTGATCGCCATCACATTGACTTTATGCTGTAAGAAGGAGGACGACGGTGCTTACAAGTCGACTTCTGTTTGATTTCTCTTCATTTCACGCCGTCAAGATCACAGTTCATTTATTCATCTTTTGGTAAATATCACTCACTTCAATTTTAAATTTAAAAACAACAACGGACTTATGGCAGCCCTTAATAAACGATTCAAAACAACTAGTTGTGATCAGTTATTACAATTAAAACACAAGTAAACAGTTTAGCGTTCGGAAATTTAAAAAAATAAATAAAAAGAAAAATTGTGTTAGCGAAAAAACAGTTTCGATCAGCAGAAAAACTTTGCCATTGAGTTTTGTACAGAAGATTTTAAGCTGATGTATCATGATGTATCATGATGTATTATGATGTATTATGATGTACTTTGATGATGTATTAAGATGTTTTAAGATGTTTTATGATGCTTTTGTTTGTGCTGTGCTTCCACTTCAAATCATGGTGTCCTCGTTCAGTCATGACTTCAGTCACGTCTTGCTGTAACAAGATGACCGAACACAAGATGACTGAACACAAAATGACTGAACACAAGATGACTGAACAAAAACTTGACTGAACACAAAATTAACTGAACACAAAATTGACTAAACACAAAATTGACTGAACAAAAAGTTGACTGAACAAAAACTTGACTGAACACAAAATTGACTGAACAAAAAGTTGACTGAACAAAAAGATGACTGAACACAAATTTGACTGAACAAAAAATTGACTGAACGAAAACTTGACTGAACAAAAACTTGACTGAACAAAAACTTGACTGAACAAAAACTTGACTGAACAAAAAATTGACTGAACAAAAAATTGACTTAAAAAACAATTGGCTCCTGTTTATGGTAACCCCCACTATATTAGATTTCTGACGTCACTTTAGAACCTTCGATTAGCATCAGTCACTGTTGTATGTAGCTGTTGATAACGCATCGCCACTTAATGTTGACTGAACAAATGTTTTTGCTTATGTTTTCAATCTTTAGGCATCCATATTACCAACAAATTAACAAAAAAAGGAAAAATATGTGGGCTTACCATTTTCTCATTTTTAGTAATTATGGACCATAGTGATATTTATGCACTCAACAATTTCAGTTTCATCCTTGTCTAAATAGAAGATCTCAGCAATGTTTTATCAAAACCAGTCTTTTATTTGAAAACAAGGATTACTAAGCAAAAAAAAAAATCAGCAGAAATGTGACCTCATATTGTATGAGTGTGTGGACGTTCTATACAAAACATTATGATAATCAATATAATTAACTAACCATAATATACCGTTTCCTATGTACATTTGTAAACTTTTTTTTTCTATTTATAATTATTATTCTATTTTTTAGTGCCGTTTGTAAGAATGTGAAATGATTTTACCGCCTTAGATTCATGTATTCAACTTCATCAAAAAAAAATCACTACATAAAATTTACAGAGATGTTGTAAAGAGTAGTAGTGGCGTCACTAGGCGGGATGAAAGCCTGGGGTAGTCCACCCCCTTTCACCCCTCCTAGTGACGCCACTAAAACTGGGTATATATTTGTATGTACAGTTTTTATTTAGTTTACCTCAAGTGAAATCGCTCCACTCACGATTCCAATAGGCGGACCACACCATTTCTTCTAGTCAATCTTCATTACATGACGGTGGGGGGGGGGGGGGGGGGGGGGGGTCGGTGTAGTAGCTGAGACAGTCAAGTTGTGTAAAATGTGGGGCGTGTTTTTTGTCTAGTTTGGTTAAATGTATTTATAGACAATTTTATCATTTGACCAAGAGGTTTAGATTAAATTAGTGGCCAATGATAATTAATCAATGATTTTTCTCTACTGACCATCTTATTGGTGCTACAACGAAAGAGTTGGCCTATTTGCTTATGCGTAAAGACATAGGTCAACGTAAATATCAAATTGTAAAGACGTCAAGGCGAATATCAAAATTGTAAATTAGCTAACGTGAATATCAAAATTGTAAAGTAGCTAACGTGAATATCAAAATTGTAAAGTAGCTAACGTGAATATCACAATTGTAAAGTAGCTAACGTGAATATCAAAATTGTAAAGTAACTAACGTGAATATTAAAATTGTAAAGTAGCTAACGTGAATATCAAAATTGTAAAGTAACTAACGTGAATATCAAAATTGTAAAGTAGCTAACGTGAATATCAAATTTGTAGTGAGAGAATATTTTTCCATTGGCAGCTTGTATAAACAGGTTTTTGTTTTGTTTTCTTTTGTGAAAGTTTTAAAGTGCTAAATTCGGCACGATTGAATTTCTCGAAATGTGTTAGAGAATTTTTTTAAACCAAATATATATTTCAACATTATTTTTGTATTGGGATTATTTTTTATTTTTATTTTTTAAAAATCTGACAACGGGAACTTTGAATATCTTTAAAGCTAAAATATAATTCATTTATTAATTTTACCTCGTAAAACTAAGTATAATAATTTGGAAATATATAACTTAATGATACATTTTTCTACATCCTGTGTTTTATTGTCGATTTCAAAAGTTTTAAACACTTTTGCAAATTACATTGTGTATTTTAAATTAAACTGTCCAGTATGTGTGTGTAGTTTTATGGTTCAAACAATACAATCACATATATAATATTGTGTATGTTTACAAATTCCTTACTGGCAGTCTCTACCTTTGTTAGGCCAGATTTTTCAGCATTTTAAAACCAATGTATACCTGAAATAAAATTGTGGTACAGATTTTTGCTGGGAAGGAATGTTTTTGCTGTTTGCATTACACAATCATAAAATTCTGATTTGATATGCTTCCATCATTTTGCATATTTAATTTATTTGTCATGTTAATGTAATCATCAGCCTCCATCATTTACTGTAAGCATCCATGACGTCATCAGTTGAACGAATGGTTTGACAGGTTAAGTTATACATTTACATTTTGATATTAAAATAGTTTTATAAAATATCTCAAGGTTTTTTTTTTCAAATTTTTATGTACACAATTTAGTTAAAAGACAAAACATGTTCATTAAAATGAGCTTTAACTGAAGTAAAGGTATTGTTGAAATAACCAAAAAAAATGAATTAGGAAATTTCACATGACATTTCACGAAGCTAAATATTGTTTATTTTTGCAGTAAAGGGGAATTAATACAGTGTAAGCCGTTTAAAGCAATTATAGAGGTTTATTCCCCTTTCGTGTATTCCCACACCAGTGTTTAACTATTCCCACACTACAGACATGTTTAACTATTCCCACACCAGTGTTTAACTATTCCCACACTACATACATGTTTAACTATTCCCACACCAGTGTTTAACTATTCCCACACTATAGACATTTTTAACTATTCCCACACCAGTGTTTAACTATTCCCACACTACAGACATGTTTAACTATTCCCACACCAGTGTTTAACTATTCCCACACTACAGACATGTTTAACTATTCCCACACCAGTGTTTAACTATTCCCACACTACAGACATGTTTAACTATTCCCACACCAGTGTTTAACTATTCCCACACTACAGACATGTTTAACTATTCCCACACCAGTGTTTAACTATTCCCACACTACAGACATGTTTAACTATTCCCACACCAGTGTTTAACTATTTCCACACTACAGACACGTTTAACCACCCTAGACAGCAGACAGGTTGGTGTCTTGTGATATTTCCCCACCCAGATCTTGTAAGTTATATCTGGAAGCAGCCGATGTATCAGGGTACTGGGTCAGTCCATTGGTCACCAGCAGAGATTTTGTCAATTTGTTTTTCCTTAACCCTCTCAGCTGGGGGTTGTGGAACAGGGTGTAGGCCAGAAACCATCTGATCCTGGCTAGTCGTGGTTTTTTGTCTTCTTCAATGGAGACATTTGATATATCTATACAGACATGTTATATATATATATATATATATATATATATATATATATATATATATATATATATATATATATATATATATATATATATATATGTGTGTGTGTGTGTGTGTGTATGTATACGTGTGTGTTTGTATGTATACGTGTGTGTGTGTGTGTGTGTATTGATGATCTTCTATTGTCTGAAGATGGTAATAAGGTAAATAAAATGTAGTACCACAAATTGCCGCACCCCCGTGACAGACATCAGATTCTGATAATGAGGGTACCTGACTTTAGAAAGTCGGATGAAAAAAAACGAAAGACGTTAAGGTATTCTTTATTTACTACAAGCTTCTAGACCAGGGGTCTCCAAACTTTTCAGCCCAAGGGCCGCAATAACTATTAAATATCAGAGTTTCTTCAAGGCTCCTCTTCGGGATGGTTGAGCTCCCCCCCCCCCTGGGGAACGTCTACCGCCTTCCTCCCCAATGAAATATATATATATATATATATATATATATATATATATATATATATATATATATATATATATATATATATATATATATATATATATATATATATATATATATATATATATATATATATACAAATTTCAAGTATCCCCACGAAGAAAAAAATCTGAAAGAAACACTGTGGGGGGCCAACAACACACTCGAGGTCCAAGTTTGTTCTCAAATTGTTCTTCGCGTATTTCCTTCTTGAAAACTTTTGTTCTCACTGGTATATTAGTTTTAATATTAGGAACGTCTTCCTTGTGTAAAAACTTATAAAAACCCACCCGCCCTTCTGTGAACGTGCCTCTAATAACCTCCCGCTGCAGTTCATCTTTGCAACTGGCCACATTTGCGTCAAATGGGTTTTGAAACAGTCTTATTTATTCTGCCTTTATATCCAAGTCAGAAAACCGCTACTGAAACTGGAGCTGGAGGTCTTTGATGATCTCACAATCAAATGACGAGGGGGAACTCAGTGGTTGCTTAAGCCGTAAAGACCTTGCACTGCTGAAAGTGCGTCAAGATATTGGCTTGTACTTGTTCCAAAAACATGACAAGTTTGTATCTAAGGGCCTTTATGCGGGTGTATAGATCAGAAACTAGATTTCCTTCTCTTGTAGATTTAGGTTCAGAAAATTTAAATGACTAGTTATGTCTGCAGCAGAGGCTAATTTATATACCCACTCTTCATCTGACATTAACGGCTGTAGCTTACCTTTACTTTCCAAGAAGTCACCTACTTCCTTTCTGCTCAGAACTTTCTCGCAAATTAGCCATCTTACTGCTGTGAAATATGGTAAATCTTGCGAGTCTTTGTATCTTTCAACATGTCTCTGAACTATCTATGGATGAGCCTATGTGACCTTATTAAATTCACCATCTTCACCACAGGATTCAGTACATTGCTTGTGTCCATATATTTAGCACACAAAGCTTACTGGTCAATAATACAGTACAGGAACATCGGTTGTAAAATGTTTTCCTCCCTCGCTTGTCCAACCAAGCCTTTCCTTATGCCACTCATGTTCTTTCGTCCAGCTAAAGTCAGGTAACTGAGGTTAGTCAAGTCCAAGTTCTAATCAGTTCTAATCTCCAGTACAGTACCATACATGTTATGTGTTATATTCATGTCTTTATCCACACCTCTAATGAACATAAGCAGGTTAGAGGTGGAACAGCTGGCCAGCGAATCATCCACTGCAATTAAAAATGGCGTAATTTGCTTGCATTTTTCGCTATTTGAGTCACGATGTTTTCACCAATGTCTACAACACGGGGGACAATGGTATTTGCACCCAAAGCTAAATTTTCAAATTGTTTTGGATTTTCTGGACAAAGTCTCTCAGCCACCTCTAACAAACATTCATTCCGTGGACGAAAAGATCGCCGCGGGTCTGGTAAGAGAACCTCGCTGGCCGCATCTGGCCCGCGGGCCGTAGTTTGGATACCCCTGATCTAGACTAAACATGGGGTATATTTGTATGTGATGTGGGGGACAAAGGTAAAAACATGGGGTATATTTGTATGTGATGTAGAGGACAAAGGTAAAAACATGGGGTATATTTGTATGTGATGTAGAGGACAAAGGTAAAAACATGGGGTATATTTGTATGTGATGTAGAGGACAAAGGTAAAAACATGGGGTATATTTGTATGTGATGTAGAGGACAAAGGTAAAAACATGGGGTATATTTGTATGTGATGTAGAGGACAAAGGTAAAAACACAAGTACCTGGTACCAGAAGTGGGTGACTGTGATTTGGTGCTTGACCTTGACCTCCTGTTTACGTTGATGAGATGAATGAAGACACGCATGCTGGGATTGTTGTGGGCGTTGTCTACATACAACATAGAGACATACGCCAAGTATCCTGGAATAAACAGAGAACATACTAAATATTTTACGTATACTCTTTTCGTCTTCATTAGCTGGTATAAAAACATCTATCAACCGTAATAAGCTTGCTCTCGTCATACAGGTCAAATGAAATTATCAAATCTCTTAATTTTTAAATGAGCCAGTCTTTTATTCGGCTGTGATGTGCGACAGTTCAGTTCAGGAGTAAATGACAGAAGACTTTCTAAATAAGAGAGAACTGACCACTGTCGTAGCTGAGCATATCTCTGGGGAAGATGCTCCGGTCTAGACGCCCCATACACATGGCGCCCAGTGCTGCTGACCACAGAACTCTCTTCAAACAGCTGAACAGCCCGATGCCAAAGTTTGAAAACAGGCTGTAGTAGTGAAACAGCTCGTAAAATTTTCTGTGGTAAAAAAAAAAGTTTGAAATACATTATACATTCCTTGTATGAGCGTATGAAATAAATTATACATTACTTTTATGAATAAGCTGCCATATAGCTCCAAATTATTATATAAAATTTGAAATTGAAGTACAAGTAGATTTAATTAATTATCTCGCTTGGCGTCGAGTTACTTGTCTTAATACACATGTAGGTAAGGGTGGAGTTACCTGTTGCAATACACCTGTACCTGTAGGTAAGGGTAAAGTTACCTGTCGTAATACACCTGTACCTGTAGGTTAGGGTGGAGTTACCTGTCGTAATACACCTGTAGGTAAGGGTGGAGTTACCTGTAGTAATACACATGTAACTGTAGGTTAGGGTGGAGTTACCTGTAGTAATACACCTGTAACTGTAGGTTAGGGTGGAGTTACCTGTCGTAATACACCTGTAGGGTAGGGTGGAGTTACCTGTAGTAATACACCTGTAACTGTAGGTTAGGGTGGAGTTACCTGTCATAATACACCTGTAGGTTAGGGTGGAGTTACCTGTAGTAATACACCTGTAACTGTAGGTTAGGGTGGAGTTACCTGTAGTAATACACCTGTAACTGTAGGTTAGGGTGGAGTTACCTGTAGTAATACACCTGTAACTGTTAGGGTGGAGTTACCTGTAGTAATACACCTGTAGGGTAGGGTGGAGTTACCTGTAGTAATACACCCGTAGGTAAGGGTGGAGTTACCTGTAGTAATACACCTGTAACTGTTAGGGTGGAGTTACCTGTCGTAATACACCTGTAACTTTAGGTAAGGGTGGAGTTACCTGTCGTAATACACCTGTAACTTTAGGTTAGTGTGGAGTTACCTGTTGTTGACATTGAGAGGTGAATGTTTGTCTGTGGTACTGATTTTCCCCTGCAGTAAAAAACGTCGACAGAAAAAACGTTGGATCTTGTTCAACACTAACATTGTCAATGGGAAACTGTAGGAATCAGAAGGTAAAATAAACATCTAATAAGGTATTATTATATCACTTAATAATAATGAAACTAATCAGCTATTTTATAAACTCATTTACATTTAATTATATGCTTCTACATCAGAACTTAACACTCTACATGGTGTATGAAATTCAGTAGCGTAGCCAGGATCGTGTCATGGGGGGGGGGGTCAATTTTTCCCAGCATTATATACATATATATATATATATATATATATATATATATATATATATATATATATATATATATATATATATATATATATACAGAGGGGTCTATGGGGGGATGTCAGCATTTAAAAATCTCCTTACCACAAATAAATGAAAAATTCCTTTGCGAATTCGGCCCACAGGTTATTTATATTAATATAGTAGATAATTTCTGCTACGGTGAATGTGGTCAAGGTAAAGATGACAAACAATAGGATCATACCTGAAATTATGTTTTTACTCTTATTTTTACTTTTACTATAGTTTAATATTTTTAGTGTTACTTTACAAAAATAACGATTAATGAATTAATAACTCGTATTTTATATAATAAAATAGACTTCGAATATTCTTAAAGTAGACTTAGAATAGATTAGAAAAGTTTTAGAATAGATTTAGAATAGATTTATAATAGACTTAGACTACACTTAGAATAGACTTAGAATAGACTAAGAATAGACTGAGAATAACTTAGAATAGACTTTGAAAAGACTTTGAATAGACAAAGAATAGACTAAGAGTAGACTTAATATAGAGTTGGAATACACTAGAATAGACTTAGAATAGACTTAGAATAGACTTAAAATGGACTTAGAATAGACTTAGCATAGAATTAGAATAGACTAGAATAGACAAAATATACTGGAATAGACTAAGAATAGACTTGAATAATCAAAATATACTAGAATAGACTTGGAATAGACTAAAATAGACAAATATATTAGAATAGACTTAGAAAATACTTGAATAAACAAAATATACTAGAATAGACTTAGAATAGACTTGAATATACTAGAATAGGCTTACCCCAGAGCATGAACGCTAGCTGATTGCCAGCAAAACGCATGTTTTGATGCTGTAGACAAGTTTCATGTAGGTTTGTAGACAAGTTTCATATAGGTTTGAGAAAGTGTTGTAGACAAGTTTCATGTAGGTTTGTAGACAAGTTTCATATAGGTTTGAGAAAGTGTTGTAGACAAGTTTCATGTAGGTTTGAGAAAGTGTTGTAGACAGGTTTCATGTAGGTTTGAAAACGTGTTGTAGACAAGTTTCATGTAGGTTTGTAGACAAGTTTCATGTAGGTTTGAGAAAGTGTTGTAGATAAGTTTCATGTAGGTTTGAGAAAGTGTTGTACACAAGTTTCATGTAGGTTTGAGAATGTGGTGTAGACAAGTAGGTTTCAGAAAGTGTTAGAAATATTTGAAAAGTTTCAATTGTTTTTGGAAAACAAATTATTTAAAGTCAAAGTAATTAACCCAAAATTTAATTAAATACTCCTTTATGACGAGAAACCTACCAGAGCCTCAGTTGTGGAGTTATAGGGCTGCTGCAAGTTGTGGTATTCTCCTTGGTAAAGTTTTAGTGTGTGGTATCTGCAGAAACACAGTTTGGTAAAGTTTCAGACAATTATAAATACAGTTTGGTAAAGTTTCAGACAATTATAAATATAGTTTGGTAAAGTTTCAGACAATTATAAATACAGTTTGGTAAAGTTTCAGACAATTATAAATATAGTTTGGTAAAGTTTCAGACAATTATAAATACAGTTTGGTAAAGTTTCAGACAATTATAAATACAGTTTGGTAAAGTTCAAGACAATTATAAATACAGTTTGGTAAAGTTTCAGACAATTATAAATACAGTTTGGTAAAGTTTCAGATAATTATAAATACAGTTTGGTAAAGTTTCAGACAATTATAAATACAGTTTGGTAAAGTTTCAGACAATTATAAATACAGTTTGGTAAAGTTTTAGACAATTATAAATGTGAGCGGGTGAATGGATTTTTTTGTATTATTTTATTTGTTGCGAATCTGGGAGTGCATGGTGGTCCAATGGGGAACAGCACGGGGTCCCCCTTCCGCTCGAAGCGGTCAGTATAAAATGATCGCTCGGAGTGATTTTCTTCCTTTTTTTTGACCCGCGGCGAGATGTAGGTCGTGCAGGTTTCTGCGTGGCGCACCGCACGCGTGGAGGTATTTGTTTTTTTATACTTTATCTTTATGTGATTTGTATGAATGCGACTGACGATGTTTCTCGTTTTCTTTCATTTTCGTCTAAAACGAGATAGTGAGCATCGGCATGTCTGGTATGCACGTGGTGTGTTATTTTGTTATTTTGAATTAAAATGTATTTTCTAAACCCTTTGGCGTGTGTTTCGGACCACGTGGTTTAGGCCAGTGTGTTTAGGAGTGTTTCCTAAACTAGTGTGAATGCGTGTGTGCATTTACTTGATTGTTTTATGATGTGTTGTTATTGACTAGGATTGGCTTAGTCAATAGTCAGTTGGTTAGACAGTAATTAGATTAGTATATTTTAGTTGCCTCGAGTTAATAGGTTGTTTAAAATTAATGTGTGTGCTGTTTCGTGCAACGTCATGTTGAGTATCGCTTGCTTTGTGTCTGCCTTCATTGGGGCCTTAGCGGAGTGTGTTAACTTTAATGTTATCAATATGGATATTGTTTAGGTAGACCAATGGCTTCGGGCTTCCTTGTGTAGGAAAGATTGGTTCTACGATGAATTTGTTTACACGTTATTTTTAAGTTGCTAGTTCTTCTTTAGACAGTGGTTAGTTGTTTTTGAGAATTGCTTTTAGAATTGTATAGTAAGGATTAGTTTTACTCGAGGCTTTAGCTAGATAGTAGTAGTAGGTAGCATTTTGAACTTGTGTATATATTTATGTATATATCTGCCATTACCATGCATTTTTCTTATGTTTTCCTTTTCTTTTTCTCTTCCCCCCCCCCTTCCAGTGAGGTTGCTTGGGCAACTTGGCTGGGTGTTTTGTTATATATGAATTGTTTTGTTTGGTGTAAAAAGTTTGTTGTGTACGTATTGTTTTGTACGTAACGTATTGTACGAAGTGGTTTTACGTAGTGTTTTGTTTGGTGTGGACTTTTGGATGTCGAGAATGGATGAAGGGAGGTTTCTGTGTGTCAGGGCCTGGACCATCCTAGACATCATAAGTCGGAGCAACACCAGCAAATGGTCGAACGTAATGTTTTGTTGTATATAAACTGTTTTGTTTGGTTTTGTTTTGTCTGTTTTGTGTCAGCAGTTTTTATCTATTTATTTATTGGTTCCATATTTTGTTGAATAAATTTATATTAGTCATTCTTGATAAATAAATTTTATTAACTGTAAAAGTTTTTGTTTTATTTTAGTAGCTTATTATTTAGACTAAGGTTAGGGTTTAACCACTGTGGGTTCTACCACGGTTGCACTGACCGGACAGATTAGTTAGTTAAGCCTAGAAGGGTAGATTTTAAGGTATTCCCCCCTAGCAGGGCTTACATAAATACAGTTTGGTAAAGTTTCAGACAATTATAAATACAGTTTGGTTAAGTTTTACACAATTATAAATACAGTTTGGTAAAGTTTAAGACAACTAAACCAAAAACATCCTTTAGCACACGACCATCTAACGCCATAGAAATCTCAACAAAATTTGGACAAACTTAGCCGAAGATACAGCCTCCACAAGACAACTATGTTTCCAGACGTCTCAAACTAAAGATAGTCTCCAACCAACACCCGACCAAGTCTATAAAAGTATCAACAAAACTCAAGACACAAGCTTACCTGTAGTTTCTTAGTGCCATAAAGATGTGTAGTACCGTAGTAATGTCTGTTACTACTAAAGATACAGCCATTGATGCTAAAATAGATAAATATTTTGTTATAATATATAATTAGGTTATCAATTTTTCGCAGATATTGTTAAATTAAAATTATGTTCTAGTTCTTAACACTGGCGTAGCTAAGTAGCATAACCTCTTAATCACTGATTCAATATATATATATATATATAT